ATATGGCGAGGAAGCTAGGTGTACTTGCTCAGGTCTCTATTCCTCTTCTTGTAAATCCACCAATTTCACTCCCATGATAGCCCACTAATCCATTCATGAGGGCAGATCCCTATTGATACAATCCCTTTTTAAAAGTCCCACCTTTCAATATTGCCACCCTGGGGATTAAGTTTCCAACACATGAAATTTAGGGGACTCATTCAAATCATATCACTTAGGAAGGCGTGGTTTTAATAATTCCACTCATTTAGCTGTGCTGATTTGAAGTGTCACTGAGAATTTCGACTTCACAAAAGAACCTGTGGACACTGTCATGGTTAATTTTATGTGTCACCCGGGCTAGGCCATGTGGTGCCTAGTCGTTTGGTCAAACACCAGTCTAGATGTTCCTGTGTCAAATACCAGTCTAGATTCTCTCAGATGAGTGTCTTAGACCATTTTGTGCTGCTATAATAGGATACCACAGATTGGGTAATTTATAATGAACTGAAGTTTACTATCATTCTGAAGGCTGGGATGTCCAAGATTGAGGGGCCTGTATCTGGCAAGGGACTTTGTGCAGTGTCATCCTATGGCAGAAGGTAAAAGGGCAAGAGAGAAACAAAAGGGGCTAAATTCTTCCTTTCATAAGGAACCCACTCCTACAATGAGAACCCACTCCCACAATAACAGCATTAATTTATTCAGGAGGGTAGCGCCCTCATGACTTAAAGACTTCTTAAAGATCCCACCTCCCAACACTGTTGCATTGGGGATTTAGTTTCCAACACATGCTTTTGGGGGGAAACATTCAAACCATGGCAATGAGAGTAACATTTAGGTGAGTAGACTGAGGCTGGGTGTGGTGGCTCACACCTGTAATCCCAGCACTTTGGGAAGCCGAAGTGGGTGGATCACTTGAGGTCAGGAGCTCGAGACCAGCCTGGACAAAATGGTGAAATCCCAACTTTATTAAAAATACCAAAATTAACTGTGTGTGGTGGTGCATGCCTGTAATCCCAGCTATTTGGGAGGCTGAGGCAGGAGGATTGCTTGAACCCAGGAGGTGGAAGTTGGAGTAAGCCAAGATCATGCCACTTTACTTCAGCCTGGGTGACAGAGTGAGACTTCGTCTCAAAAATAATAGTAATAATAATGAAAATAAATAATAGGTAGAGTAAGTAAAGCAGATTATCTTCCATAATGGGTGTGGACCTCATCCAATTGGTGGAAGACCTTAAGAGAAAAGATTAAGATCCCCCAAAGAGGAGGAAATTCTGCTCCAGAATGCATTCAGATTGAAGACTGCAACATCAACTCTTGCTGGAATTTCTAGCCTGTTGGTTTGCCCTGCAGATTTTAGACTTGCCAGCCCCAAAAATCACATGAGCCAATTCCCTAAAATATCCATGTCTACACACATACACATACACATACACATACACATACACACGTGCATTCTATTGGTTCTGTTTCTCTGGAGAACCATGACCTAGTGCTTCTGGCAGGCAGTCTTGTGCCCCCAATATGTCTATTCCCTAACCCCTAGACTCTGTGGAGAAAAGTTTTTTGAACTACCAAAAAAATGAATTTGTACATGCGATCCAAGCATCATCCAAGCTCACCCACAAACATTGGATCAAGGTCCAGCTATTTTAAATTTTATTTAATTTTTTTTATTGGGCAGCCTCTGAACCAGCATATGCTCAGAGAGACTGCCGTTTTTAAAAATGTATTTTTATCAAAAGTCCTGCTCTTCTGAGTTGACATTACAAACCCTCCAAATGATGGGAACACTTGTCTGCAGTGCAGTCACATGTAGATCCATTGAGGATTAGATTTGCTTAGTGCTAGCAAAATTATGTTTTTGAGAAATTTACAAGGGATGATCAGGTCCACTTTCATTTGCTTAATTTCTTTTCCAGAAATGAAAGCGATGACCCCATCCATAGTTTACAAAGTGAAGCTAAAGGTTAAATTGCAAAGAGTTCCTCTGTCCTCAAATTTTATGAAAATGAGCCAACTCTCTATGACCTCTCTTTCCTGAGTTCCTTTCCAGCTGACTACTGGACATCTCCACTTGGATACCCATAGGTACCTCCCAAGACTGCTATGCATTGCTGCACAGGCTGTGAAGTGCACAAGGGGGTTACATCTAGGGGGGACTGCTATGGTCTGAATGTTCCCCAATATTCACTTGTTGAAACTTAATCCCCATTATGGTGGTGTTAAGAGGTGGGGCCTGTTGGGAAGTGATTAAGACATGAGGGCTTGTCCTCATGAATGAGATTCATTGCCCTTATAAAAGGGCTTAACAAGAGGTGTTCACCCTTTTACCTTCTGCCATGTGAGGACACAGCATTTCTCCTCTCTGAAGAATGCAGCAACAAAGGCACCATTTTGGAAGCAGAGAGACCAGGCCCATACCAGCGAGAGTTCTGATGTCTGACACCCAGCCTCCAGGACTGTGAGAAATAAATATCTATTGTTTCTAAATTACCCAGCCTGTGGTATTTTGTTGTAGCAGCACAAACAGACTAACTAAGAAAGGGATCCTTCAGAATGAGGTCCACATAGATTTCTAGGTTTATTACGGCAGTTTCTTGGCATATGGTAGCCAAAGGTTGAGCTTTAACAAAATTGGGACATTATGACAATTTTATGACTAACAGAGTCCAGTGCTGTAAGGAAGGGGTCTCTTTTTCTAACACACACAAAGGCAACCTATGGGCTTGGACTTAGAGTGGCTCAAGCTCAACATTTCCAGAATAAATTCACCTTGCTCACTGACCTCTCCCACCTGCTTGTCATCCTGGATTCCTTATTTCAGTGGCTGATATCTCCTTTACCCAGTTTTCCAAGTCTGAAACCTCAGTGCCAGGCTTGGCCCATGTTGGCGTCTCCCTCCCTCCTCACTTCATGTCCAACATTCCATCAGTCACTGAGTCCTGTCCAAAGTTAGGGTTAATGCATCAGGTCTTCCTTGATTATGACAACAACTTCTTAACTGACCTTCCCACAGTCACCCTTGCCCCTCCAATCCATCCTCCATCATGCAATCCTAGTGATCTTTCTGGAGTGGAAATATGATCAGTTCACCCCTTTCCAAGATCTTGCTGTGGCTCCTTGTCACCTCTAACAGGGTTTTTCATCTAATCCATACCTTTGTCCATAACTGTGTCTTCTGCCTGGAATAACTTGATTCCTTCACCTCATCAAGGACTTATTCATCTTTAAAGATTCAGCTTTGCGTCACCTTTTTGGAGAAGTTTTCCTGACCTGCTTTTTTCCTATGGATTGGGGTAGGTGTTCCACATCCTGTACAATTGTCCCCATTATGGCACTTGCCAACTTGTAATGTCATTGTTAATTTGTCTCCTTCACTTGATTGTGAACATGTTAAGCAGGGATATGTCAGATTCATCTCTGTCCTCTAAATCTTAAGTGTACTTAACTGAATTGGAATTACGATAGTGTCACAGTAAATTCCTCTTTGGCCTAGTCCTTCTTGAAGAATATGGTACTTAAAATATGCTTAAAGTTGCGCTGTTTTCTTTCTGACAATTCTCAGCACAGCTAAGATGCTTGCAGCTACTTGTAACAAAATACCCAACTAAAAGTGGGTGTCTTAGTGTGCTTAGGCTGCCAAAACAAAATACCATAGACTGGGTGGCTTAAACAACAGAAATTTATTTTCTCACAACTCTGGAGGCTGGGAAGTCCAAGATTAAGGGTCCAGCAGGGACCTAGTGAGGGTTCTGTTCCTGGCTTGCAGATGGCCACCTTCTTGCTGTGTACTCAGATGGCCTTTTCTCAGTGTGTGCATGTCAGTGCATGACATCACTGGTGACCCTTCTTATAAAGCACCAGTTCCGTCAGACTAGAGCTTGGCCCTCATAACCTAATTGTCTCTCAATACCACCTCCAAATACCATCACATAGGGAGTTAGGACTTCAACATATGGACTTCAGGGGGATGAAAGCCAGCAGCCTGCAGAAGATGATTCTCCAGTGTAAGATGGGAGTTATTATTGTCTGGGGATCTTCCTTTCCTTCTTCCCAGCACCCTCCATACCTTGTTAACGTCTTACCCCAGGCTCACCTCCTCTTGGGTATAAGATGGCTGTAGGAGCTTCAGGCATCATATCCTCGAAGTTCAGTTTGACGTCATTAAGCTGGTAGGGCGAGATGAGTCTGGGATGGGCATGAGTAACTCTCTGTCTGCAGGTCTGCCTTTTAACAGGGAGCGAATTGTTCCCTTTATAGCTCCTTTGCCAGGTCTGGGTCATAGGACTCCTGTCTACACCCAGAGCAATCACAGGCAGAGGGGCTTAATCATGAGCCACACATCCACTCCCAGCTTAATCAGGAGTGAGGTGAGAGGGGATGATTCGAACCCAAACAAAACGAGCAAGAAAATAAATCTAGCCCAGAAAGCAAATGTCCTAAATGCCTCACCAAGATAATTGGCTTGGTTTTCATAGCAGTGATTTTTAATCAACAGTAGTTAAATGTTACTCTTAAGATACACCATGGGCGGAAGTTCCGGAGGCGGCATCAGAACACTTGGTTGCTCTACAGATGGCAAGGAGGTGGGTTTCTAGGGGGAGGGGTATGGAAGGGGAAAATGGAGGGAAGAATGGGGTGGGGAGGAATTGCTAAAATGCCCGGAATTGCTCGTGCTTCAAGATGTCAAGACCGAGGGAGCCTGAGCCGTCCTATACCTTTTCTGGGAAGGACAGCTGAAGGGGGAAATAATTTTTAAACCTTGAATGTCTCCAAACTTCTTATTACACCCCACGTCTCTGCAGTCAACCCGATTTGACTACAGAGCGAAGCACGATATGCATAATCCGCTTGGGGATTCTGAACTCCAGTGGCTCGGAACGCGCCCGGGTCGCTAGAGCAGGAGGTCCTAGCCCCCCGCTCCCAGGCTACGCGAGCGAGCGCCCAGGTGGGGGTTCCCGGCGCCGGCCCCGCGCGCCGCCAGCCCCCGCCCCCGACCCCCGCGCGCGGGGCCTTGTGGGTAACGCGGGGCCGCCAGGTGACAGCTAATGGCGGCGGCCGCCTGAAGCGGGCGGGCGGGCGGTAGAGCGGGCGGCAGGAGGCGCGGGGCGGAACCTTCCCTGCTGCTGCTCCGGTCCCGACGGCGGCTTCCCTACGGCGGCGGGACTCGGCGCGTCATGGACAGGCCGGCGGCGGCGGCGGCGGCGGCGGCAGTGGCGGCTGCGGGCTGCGAGGGCGGCGGGGGCCCCAACTCGGGGCCGGCGGGCGGTAGGAGGCCTCCTCGGGCCGCTGGGGGCGCCACCGCTGGTTCTCGGCAGCCCAGCGTGGAGACCCTGGATAGGTAAGCTGGGCCCCGGCCGACCCGGCCTCCAGCGCCTGGACTCCCGAGGGCCCCGCGCGAGGCCCGCTCTCTCCCTTCCCGCGCGCCGCACAGGGCCTGGCCGAGGCGGGGTGGGCGACCCCTCTTCATCCCCTCCGGCTCCTCCCCCCCCCCCGGAAACCCCTGCACCCTATCCGGGGGCTGCCGCCCTCGGACCTGCTGCGGCCGCGCACCTGGCTTACTTCCGCCGCGCCAGTCCCAGCTCCTGGAACCCTGGGAGGGGCTTCATGGCTATCAAACCACTTCCCGCTCCGCCACCTGCTACCTTTGGTTACCCCTTGGCTGTTCCTGCCCAGTCCACCGATCCTCTTGGGAGGGAGATCCCACCGCGGCTCTCCTCTTTTGGGGTCACCTTGCCTCGTGTGGTTTTAAGACCCCAATTCCACTGTGGCTGCTTAAAGTCTTTGATGCTGGGGTTGGAAATGGGGACAGAGAGATGGGACCCACGGGCGTGGGAGCTGGTGCAGATCCAGGCAAAAATCTGGGATGGAGAACTTCCAAACTGCTCAGGAGGGAAGAAAACAGAACCTTTTACTTTCAGTTCTTCACACTTTGAAGGAACCAGTTTATTGTTTTCATGAACACACAAGCAAGCCTACTGCTTCTGAGGCAGCTGCAGAACTAAGAGAAATCAGAAGTATAAAGTGACCGCGCCTAACTGGGAGGGGCCACCCGTCCTTCGATGACAAGGGATGGCCTATCCCGTAACCCGGAACATCCAGTTTCGCACATCTTGGCCATTTCTCTGACATCAGAGTGCACTCAGGCTGCCTGGCTGTTGTAATGTAGCTCTGTCAGTTTCAGATGCCCATTCCTGCCTGTCTTAGTCATACCATTGTGCCAAACTTTTGGGAGTTTCCAAAAGCACAGAAACAAGAAACATTCCCTTCACTTTTGTTTCTACCTCAGTGTAATTATATTTTAACAAATTAATCACCCAAGTGGTTAGTGTCACTGAAAATCAGTCACAGCTAAGACAGCACTTGAAATGGTGCAGACTTCACTCATCTGCAAATATTCAACGATGTACGAGGTCTGGGTGATTCACAGGATAGTACAACATGGCTTTTGCTGTCTTACCATTTTGCTAGGCTTACCATGTAGTGGAGAATAGAAACCAACCAATAGTGGAAATCGAATGAGATGTGTGGTAGAGGCAAACGTGGAAGTACTCAGCATGGGCGTGTATCAAAATCATTTAAGGAGCCAAGGGAGATCAGAATGTGTCACCCCTAAATATTCCTCATCTTCTGGTTTCCTTCAGAGATTTTGGTGATCAGGGAAAGCCTGAGAAAGGTGACATTTGAGTAATGTCCCCAAAGACGCGAGGGATCCAGCCATACAGATACCCAGGGGTGATAACATTCTAGTCAGAGGCCTGTGCAAAGCCCCTGAGGTGAGTGTGAACCAAGTATTCCTACATCAGCAAGGAGACTAGGTGTTACTAGCAGGGAGGGAGCTAGGGAGAGACAAGTAAGGGATGACGTTAGAGAAGTCACAGAGCCAGATGGTGGAGAGCCTCAGAGGCCATGAGGAGCCACTGGGGACCTTGTGCAGAGGAGTGACATAATCTGTTGTAGATTTCAGCAGGCTCTCCATGGTGCTATGTGGACAATATAGTGACGGGGGAAAGAGTGGAAACAGAGACTGGCAGTAGGAGGCTATTGGAGTAAGCCGAGTGAGATGGTGGCTCAGCCCAGAGAGGGGCGGAGGAGAGGAGAAGTGGTCAGATTCTAGATGTAATTTGAAGACCTGCAGGGTAGAGCCAATGGGGTTTGCTGAAGATTGGTTGTTTGGTGTGAGAAGAATCTGGGAGAATTCCAGGGTTTTAGCTTGTGGGAAAATTGTGTTGCTGAGATAGAGAAGTCTTCCTAAGGTGGAGCAGGGTTAGGAAATAGCAGGCTCTTTGCTCTGGACATATCAATTATGAGATGCCAATTATATGTCCCAGAATAGATGTCAAAGATATAGTTGGTTGGCCGGGCTCGGTGGCTCACGCCTGTAATCCCAGCACTTTGGGAGGCCAAGGTACCCAGATCATGAGGTCAAGAGATCGAGACCATCCTGGCCAACATGGTGAAACCCCGTTTCTACTAAAAATACAAAAATTAGCTGGGCATGTTGGCATGCACCTGTAGTCCCAGCTACTCGGGAGGCTGAGGCAGAAGAATCGCTTAAACCCAGGAGGTGGAGGTTGCAGTGAGCTGAGATCACGTCACTGCACTCCATCCTGGTGACAGAGCGAGACTCTGTCGCAAACAAACAAACAAAAAAGATATAGTTGGTCTATCTGAGCCTGGAGTTCAGGATTTTCTGGGCTGGAGATTCAAATTGGGGAGTCATGGGCTTATAGATGAGGCTTAAATTCATGAGGCAGGTGGAGTTCACAGAAGAATGAAAGGAGTCCGGAAAAGGGAATTGGACTAGGAATAGGGATGGGTGGATTTTCAAGACACTTACCAAGTAAGAGTGACCTGACCTGGTGAGCATTCAGATGTGAGGGGGAAGTGCTGGGTGGACTCCAAGGCAAACCTCAGCTTTCTAGCCTGTGGGAGCCGGGTAACTGGCTGTGCTGTGCCCTGCGTTAGGAAGCACAGGAGGGGAGTAGGTTGCGGGGCTGAGCGACTGTTGCTGGTTTAGACAGGTTGAATTGGCAGGGTCTCTGGGCCAGACCAGTGGAGATGTCTTGTAGGAATGTCAGCACTGAGATCAGGAGAGTCCAGGTTAGAGAAACAGAGCTGGGGGCCTCCAGCCTGCAGGTGATTACTGACACCAGGAGTATAGAGGGCAATTGCAAGACTGCAGAAAAGGGATGGGGGAGGAATCATGGCTTCCTTTCTCAGTTCTGTCATCTCAACAAGCTCAGATTCACACTTTTCTTTGAAGAGTGACCTCTAGAATGGAACCTGGCTCTATAGGTGGGACTCAGCCCTGTCCCTTGGACTGTGGGGACTTCACTTCTGTTTCGAATACTGTACTTAATAATAAGGAAGCTGTGGTCCTGTAAGAGGATGTGTCTTGCCAAAGATCATGGAGTTAGCTGGTGACAGAAGCAGGACTCACATCCAGGCATCCTGTCTGCTAGCCCACTATACCTCACTGTGTGTAACTACGTTGGCCAGGACGCTTCTGTTTGCAGGTGACAGGAACCACAATTCAATCTAGCTTAAGCCAAATGAGATGTTCTGGCTCACAGAACTGCTCCAGACAGGAGGAGAGATGGCCACACGCACAGTGTTGTCGAGACTCCCCATCTCTCTGTCTCTTTTTTTTTTTTCTCACTTTTTATTCCTTTGAGTCCCTCAAGATGGTAGGATTGGGGTGGGGTGGGAGTGGCCTCCAGCAGCTCTGGACGTATTTCCAGGATCCAAGAGGAAAGCCTGGGATTGGCTGATCCTAGGTAATTCACCTGCAAGTGGGAGCAGGCGGACGAAGAGGTCAACCTCCTCCTCCCCTTTTCCCCACAGAAGCCTGTGATGTGGAGAAGGGCAGTTCCCCAAAGTAAAGAGGAGCGTCCTTATCAGAAGAAGGGGAAGGCATGCTGGGCAGGTGGCAATAACAGGTCATACTCATGGTCAACAGTTGGGTTCCTGCAGTTTCTTCCTGTATTTGCAGCTGGTGGGTGCTGACAGCAAAAGACATTATGACAAGAAAAGTATCATATATGCAGGCAATGAAAGTGACTTAACCTTTAAAAAGGAAACAAATCTCTCCCTTTTCCCTCCTTCTTCCCCTCGGGTCGAAATTGTGGCATATAGATTGCTGGCATGTGATGAGAATTTCTGCTCATTCAGTATTTTGAACCACACAGATAACCTCTGGTCTGTTTGGAGCAGGGACTGCAATTTGGATGACTAGCACAGAACTTCAGTTTTCTTTATTTTACTGTTTGGGTCATTTTCCATATGACCTGGGGATTCCAGGTGTTTCTGTCCTTCAAATACATGAGTGTGGATTTAATTAGTGATGTGATTTTTTTAAAGGCCTGAAACATTCTTTACAGTGAACACTACCTGCAAGGTAAACTTTTGTTAGTATTTTTAGCCCTCTAGCTGGATTTCTTAGTGTTTTCCCAAATTGTGAGAGGAACCCGGCCTCTGGGGGCAATTGTTAAATCTCTCACTGCCTAGTTGGCTTATGTGGTCTTTTAGGTAAGGTGAGTACAGCCTGACCACTTACCAATTGTGTGACCTTGGGGAAAACTGGACCTTAATTTTTTCATCTGTAAAATGGGTCACTGTGAGGCTGGGCAAGGCTACATGTGTGAAAATGCTTTGATGCTTCAGAGCTCTGTGGGAGTGAAAGATGCCGTTTTCTTTGCATTGTTGTGTTTTCATATAAAGCGATTGGCTACCACCTGTGCTTCTGGCTTCAGTGCAGTGAGTCAGTCACTATTGGTTTTTCTATGTCCTGTTAAGGACAGCCACTTTCTCACAGGACATGTCACCTCTGTGCCTTGATTTTCTCTTCTCAAAAACTAGTCAGCTAGTCCCTGTTCTGCCTTCTTATCACACCATGGTTATGAGGCTCTGACATAATAAAAACTATTTGTGCCTGTAATCCCAGCACTTTGGGAGTCTGAGGCGGGCGGATCACCTGAGGTCAGGAGTTTGAGACCAGCCTGGCCAACATGGTGAAACCCTGTCTCTACTCAAAATACAAAAGTTAGCTAGGCGTGGTGGCACACGCCTGCAATCCCAGCTACTAGGGAGGCTGAGGCAGGAGAATTGCTTGAACCCTTAGGGTCAGAGGTGACAGCCAAGATTGTACCACTGCACTCCAGCCTGGGCAACAGAGCAAGACCCTGTCTCAAAAATAAATAAATAACAATAATAACTAAAAACCATTTGTAAGTTGTCAAAGCACTTACAGAAATGTAAGGTATTGTTACTACTACACAGAGAATGTCATTTTTATGGGCTGTAATTTATAAATCTCATGATGAGGTTTACTTCTGAGTCACTTTGCTTCACTCAAAAGTACACTATTTTCTAGAATTAAAACTACCAACATGAAATTGATTGAAGGTTTGAAAAGCCTACGATGTAACATAAATACTTCTCTTTAGAATTAGCTTTCTATTTATATACATTAAGAATAGTTCTTCCGGCTGGGCGCAGTGGTTCATGCCTTTAAACCTAGCACTTTGGGAGGCTAAGGCAGGTGGATCACTTGAGCCCAGGGATTAGAGACCAGTCTGGGACACATGGTGAAACCCTGTTTCCACCAAAAAAAAAAAAATATATATATATATATATATTAGCCGGGCATGGCAGCATGTGCCTGTAGTCCTAGCTACATGGGAGGCTGAGGTGGGAGGATCACTTGAACCTGGGAGGCAGAGGTTGCAGTGAACTGAGATTGTGCCACTGCACTCCAGCCTGGGTGATAGAGCGAGACCCTGTCTCAAACAAAAACAAAAAACAAAAAACAATTTATCTTCCATATAATTTTAATAGAGTAAAATTCCATTAAATAGTGGAGAATAGTAAGCTTGACTAACACCTAGAATCTTCATCTTTTTTGAGAAAATTGGTCGATTCAAATCTTACTTCCTAGTTGTCAGTTGCTATTTCAGTTCTTAGATTAAAGGTGAAAAAAGTCTAATAAAAGTTCGTTCATCTAAAAAAAAGAAGTATGGTCATATTCCTATTCAGTGCTAATTTTTTCACTGAGAGCCTATGATATAATGTTTTTTAATCCATGCTATTTTTTTTAGTCCTACAGGATCACATGTTGAATGGTGTAAACAGCTTATAGCTGCTACAATTTCTAGTCAGATTTCAGGTTCAGTGACATCAGAAAATGTATCCAGAGATTACAAGGTAAGCAACATTGAGTGCTTATTCATTTTCAGTACGCTAAGTAGCCAAGAAGCTTTGCAGTTTTAATTCAAGTGAGCTGTTGGCCTTTTGATGTACCACTGCCATTCACTTGAGAATAAGGAACTCAAGGTTCTCTGTTGTTAGATCTAAAATGTAGAAGAGAAATTTTACCAGTATCCCGTACATGTAGTCATAGTTTTGTAATTGAGAGGAGAAGGTGTCTTTAGATGATGATGATTCTTTTAAAAATCAAGTTCCATTTTATGATAATACATGCATATAGCTTCTTTGTTAGTATTGTGAGTTTCAGAAAATATCTTGATGTACACATGTCGCTAACTTCACATTTTTTTTTTGTATTTATGTATATCTGTGAGTATTCAGCATTAACCTGTGAAACTAGAGTGTATAAAAACTCTTCCAAAATTTCAAAAGAGTATTGTATGGGCAGTCTCATTTTTCAGTCCTTACTGAAGTGAAAAATCTTTTTGTTTATTTTAAAAGTTAGATTCCTTGCTTATTCTAAATTTAAGAGTGATAAGCTCCTTGTCAGCAGAGACTAGGGCAGTTTTATTCACCTCTGGCTTCCCAGGCACTATCCTGAAGCATAATAGATGCTCAATAAATATTGAATCAATTAAAAAACCAAAAAAATTCCTTGCTCCATCTTTGTTAAGGCTAAAGACTAACTTGGTTTTAACATCAATATACTATGAATAGGTACATTAAATGAAATTACATTTATATTTCAGTAGTGATGTTTGCCTAAATTGAGGTTTTTGTCTGCTGGTAAGAGTTGATTGATTTTTCACAAGTGTGTGTAAAATGCATTTGGTATCCCAGACTACATCAGTTAATAGTCTCCCAAAATCACGGTCCTTGCTGGACATTGAATCTTACAAAGATTAAGAATTACAATAAAGACCCTAATTAATTCTTAATGGGTGCTCCTTGTTTAGGAGCTTTATCTTCAGTTCCTCCTTAGCTCCTAAGGGTAATAACAAGTGCAGAAACGGGCTCAAGAGGCCAACTAATTGAGATTTGGCTATGGTGCTATCTCTTGCTTCATTCAAACTGGCAGATATTGTTGATTATGCCTACCAAAGGAAGGCATAGCTGTGGTTTAGCAGAAATTGGATAATCTGCCCAGCTAGAAGAGTGACAGTATATTTATTTCTTTTTTTTTTCTTGAGACAGAGTCTTGCTCTGTCACCAGGTGCCAGGCTAGAGTGCAGAGGCACGATCTCTGCTCACTGCAACCTCCGCCTCCTGGGTTCAAGCAATTCTCCTGCCTCAGCCTCCCGAGTAGCTGGGACTACCCAGGCACGCGCCACCACGCCCAGCTAATTTTTGTATTTTTTAGTAGGGAGGGGGTTTCGCCATGTTGGCCAGGATGGTTTCAATCTCTTGACCTCGTGATCTGCTCACCTCGGCCTCCCAAAGTTCTGGCATTACAGACGTGAGCCCCCGTGCCCGGCCGACAGTATATTTCTTAATAGTTTTTCCTGCTACCTGTTGTTCATGTTTGCCCATAAAAGAGCAGCTGGGGCTCCTGGACCTTAAAACTTGGCCAGGCAAACACACTGTCTCCAGGTGGGAGAAGCATTTGCTGCATCACTGATGTGTGAATGGCTGGTCACTGAGCAGCTGTGGATTACACCAGTTACAGTTTCCCTATTGCCTGTACCTTAGCTGAGAAACTGCCTGTTGCATAGAGAGACCTAACCCATATTTGCAGAGAATAGCTGTCACACCTCAGGGTGATTTTCTGTAGGGACAATTGTGAGTTAACTGTAATGTTTTCATTATGGTTGAATAGTTGTTAGTGTTGTGTGTGTCCTATACAAGATTGAATGTTGACTGTGTGCATAGCTTTCTAACATTACATGAGTAGATCAGACTGAATCTGTACTTTAACATGAAGCAACTAAGTTTTTTCAATCTTAGTCTATTTACAAATTTTGTGTAGCAGAATTAGCTCATGTTGGAATGGTTGAACAGATGGTATTCAGAAAAAATAAGGCTTGCTTTCTTTTGGAAATTAAATTTTAAGTCCCTATATCGGATCATAGCTAAAGTCTTTGATGAATTATTATAAGGGAGCATGTTTTATAATTGTCTTTGCTATATTCGCCCTGTAGCCACATCTGCAAAGTTGGTGTTAAATTTATAATTCAGGGATTGTTACACTTTCTTTAAGGAGAGAGCAATATATATATATATATATATATTTTTTTTTTTTTTTTTTTTTTTTTTTTTTTTTTAGGCAAAGTCTCGCTCTGTAGCCCAGGCTGGAGTGCAGTCGGGCGATCTCAGCTCACTGCAACCTCTGCCTCCCGGCGGGCAATCTCAGCTCACTGCAACCTCTGCCTCCCAGGTCCCAATTCAAGCAATTCTCCTGCCACAGCCTCCCGAGTAGCTGGGATTACGGGCACGTGCCACCACACCCAGCTAAGTTTTTGTATTTTTAGTAGAGACGGGGTTTCACCAAGTTGGTCTTGAACTCCTGATCTCGTGATCTGTCCACCTTGGCCTCCCAAAGTGGTGGGATTACAGATGTGAGCCACTGCGCCCTGCAAAGTTTTTTTTTTTAATGTAATAAATACATAAACTATTTCTAAACCACAAGGATAATTGTACATGCTACCTATAAAGTAATTCTTAAAATCAGGATAACCAAAATGGGCCTTTGGGAACCCTCTGGCATGGGAACTGTTACATGGGATTGACCCTGAAGATCCAGATAAAGTTCCTTGAGGATTTAAGTTGCAGTCCTCAATTGATAATGTGTGAAATTATCTATTGTGTAAATATCTTATTTGAAATACGTACTTAAATTGGGGGCTAATTTATTATAGATTAAACTCAATGTCAGTAATTAAATGGGAGGAGATGTTTATATGGAGCAGAGTACTTGCATTTATTGGAAATGCTGATTGTCTTCTGAGTTGTAGGCTGCCGAGAATGGTTCAATGTCATCATCATCATCGTCAGCCCTCTAACACATATAGGCTCTGTGGTTTTGTAATGCTTTTTGACACGTCATGCATTTAAGCCTTAAAATAACCCAGTGAACCTGGGTGTGGTGGCCTATAGTCTCAGCTACTTGGAAGGCTGAGATGGGAGGATCACTTGAGCCCAGGAGTTCAAGGCTACAGTGTGCTGTGATCACACTTGTGAAAAGCCAGTGCACTCTAGCCTAGGTAACAGAGAGAGATCCTGTTTCCTTAAAAAAGTCCATTGAGGTAGCTATTTTTACAATCGTCGTTTAACAGGTGAGGAAACCAAGGCCTAGAGAGATGAAGTGACTTGCTTAGGGTCATACAGTTAGACTTGGGATTTGGACCCAAGTCATCCTATTGAAAAGCTAGAGTGATTTTAAGATTTTGTCCCACCCCCATTCCCATCCACTGCTTTTCATTCTTATTTTCTTCTTATTCTTCTTTTTTTATAGAGACGGGGTCTCACTATGTTGCCCAGGCTGGTCTTGAACTCCTGGACTCAAGTGATCCTCCCACCTCAGCCTTCCAAAGTGCTGGGATTACAGGCATGAGCCACCAAACCTGGCCTCATCCACTGTTTTTCAAAATGTGACCCTTGGGTCTTCCCAAAACAGCATTCCCTGGAATACCTGTAAAAATGCAGCTTCCTGGGCCCCATCCCAGATTTACTGAATCAGTCTCTGAGGGAGGGAAACAAGTGTCTCATATAATTTTATGCATGATAAAATCTGAAAACCTAGGCTTCCTGAGTTTCTATCTGTTAAAATTGGTGATGGGACCCTGAACTTTTGATATATTACTACGAACCTGAATAATTAGCAACTCAGATGTTGGAGAATAATTATTTTATTATTTACTCATATCATGAATAGTCAGCCCAGGGTCAGCTCATCTGAAGTGTAGTAAGAATATCACTGGTATCACATGAGATGAGTTTAGATGGTATGTCCGTGGACATATTTTAGTGGCTATGTAATTATTTTCTTGTGTATTAGAAAAATCAGCACATCAGGCTTGTGATTTAGTGGATGTTAAGGCTTAGAGCAGGCAAAGTGTTAAAAGGGAATGGAATTCAAATCAATATAAAAATAAATATGAAATTAAGATGGGTGGTTTGCAGATACAGCAAGCCAAACTTGTTGAGGTGGTATGTGAAATACCAGGTTTGGCAAGCATTGTCCCAGCTGAAAGAGTAGATAGTTATTATACTGAATTGTGGGTCAGCTAAATTAATAAATGCATGATTTAATACCAAGTCATCCTGAAGATTAGCCTGAAAATTAAGACTGTTAGACAAAATGTAATAAAATATTTGTTTCGCTTGCGCCCCCTCCCCCCCACTACCAACTCAATTGCTTTCATTTTTACTGGCTAACAAATGGTAAAACATCTCTCTTGAATTTGTCAGAAATTTTAAGAACAAAATTTGAATGTAATCTTCTGTAGATGAGATGAAATAATACAGTTACAAACTGAAACATTTTTAGGAACTGTTAGTAGAAGTGACATAGTTGATCACAGCTTTCATTGTTTGGAAAGTAGGACTAGGCTATGAAAAGAGAACATGATGGAGTAATACAAACAATGTTGGTTAGCTTTGTGACCTTGTATAGTCTCTGAGGCTCAGTTTCCTTATCTGGAAGGGTAAAAGGCCTTCGATTAGATTATACACCTCTAAATGCCTTTCTTGCTAGAACATTATTCAATTGTATTCAAAAGAATTTGATTTGGGCCAGCTTTATGAAAATTAGGACACTATAGTTTTAATGTGATTATTTTCCTTCCTCTTGCTTCATCATTATCATCATCTGTTCTCTGTTCTCCTTCCCTCACCCACATACACACAGTAGCTCTTCTTTCAACATTCTGAAGAAAAATGAGAAAATGGAGAAGGCCCTGTACTAAGCTTAATCATTGGATAGGATAGTATTGTAATTACATTCTGGATCTTCAACAAAAATTTCTAGAAGGGATTTGGAGGGAGGCAAAGTCAGAGTT